TTTTTTTTTTTGTGCTGTTATAGAAAATGATTTATAAATGTAATTGTTTTTACTTTATATATATCTCTACCACTTTTTAATGATACATCGTAACAATAAAAATTAAGGCGGATTTTTACCACCGCTTGGCTATGGATCATTCGGCGATGCTTATGGTTTACCGCCGATAATGGACATGCCACCAATGGGTATTGGAAATATTGGGTATGAATCATAAATACGTTAAAAAAAAAAAATGTAAACTGCAAAAATACAAAAAAAAAATCTCTTTCAATTGACTAAATCTTTTCCGATTTTTTTTTTCTTTTTTTTTTTGCACAGAGATTACGTTTGTTACAGTTTTTTCAAGTTGAATTTGATGACCAAATAAATTTTAACTTCACTTATCGTTATGTTTTTTTAATTGCTTCAATATTTTCTTAAACCAATATTTTGTGCTGTCAAAAACCAACAGATTCTAAACTACATTTTACACACACAAAAACAAAAGTTATTTATTCTTGTTATAGTTCATCATCACTTTTAACACCATCAGTTGACTGCATTGATCGAAGCGCCGATTGTCCACTTTGGGCCAGCACCGGTCAGTGCCTAACTGCTGGAGGTCATATCGCTCGATTATGTCCACAGTCTTGTGGTACCTGTTTTGGCAATGGCAGATCCTATAATTTTGGCTATGGTCTTAACGGTTAATCAATTATGCTTATCATTTTTGTCTCAAGTTTTTTTTTAATGTAATAAACTGTTCAGTTGTAAGTATTGTTTTGTGGTAACCAATTTATGATCGCTGTTTTCAATATAATGCAATGCTGATCACTGATGCTTGCAGGTTGTTGTTAAGTTTAAACAACTGATTAAATTCACTAAAATTTATTCAAATTATAGGTATTGGAAGATTTGGTTATGGTTTAGGTTACAACTACAACAACGATTATCTGGGCTTAGGTCTTAATTCTTATGGTCTCGGTTCTGGGCTTTCTGATGGCAGCATCTTTGGTAGCAGTTTTTATCCTGGTTTAGATGGTTTTAGGCTACCTTATTTATCGTATCCGTTGAAATATAAACAGTCTAAGAGTACGAGGTTGGACGATCAAAAGAAGCCAAAATCACCCTTTGATTAAAGTGTCAACAAATAACCTAACTGTTTTTTTTCTAGTAGACGATAAAGAATGTAAAAAAAGACACTATTGCAAGAGTAATAGGTAAATAAAACTAGAAAAATAAGAATTTTTCTTTGAATTTCAATAATATATGCATTTATATTAGAGAACAAACTAGTGACTCCTTATATAAAAGATATTTCATCTACTTCAGCTGCCTTAGTATTGTTTCCAGTATCCGAATACAGTGCTCAGTTTAAAAGTTACCAATTGTATGTAGAAACTTTGAATTGGATTTTTGTATGTAAAAAAAAAATCAGTTGTAACAGCCATATGTATGTAGCGCTGTAAAATAGAAATAAAGCCAATTTTTACAGAACTGTTCAGCAATTTATTTGCCTATGCCGTTAAGTAAGTGATTTTTTAGTTGTTACGAATATGCCTAAAACAGAACTTTAAATATGTATTAGCAATTTTTTTCGTAGGGGGCTAATAACAAATCCGACAACAGTGCATTAAAAAATTTCTTTGATTTTA